ACACTCATCAAATTGAAAAGTCACTATAATTTTCTGGAGAAAGTCTAGCGCTCATGGTTACTGATCTAACTTCCTCATTCTGTTCAGTGGACTGGCTCACTTTAGTTTGTGAATCCAACTGGAAAGGAGGTTTGCTGCTTTTAATTATATAGGAATTGTGAAACAACCCAGGAATGTGTTTTGGAGAAGGGTGCAGTATAAATGTACTGTATGGCTATTAATTATTACGATGTTATTGTGCCTATGAACCTCCACATCTGCTACGATCTTCAGTTCCTCCACTATTATGCCAGAAAAGAGGTCCCTGCTCGGAAGCTTCACTGCTTCACACATGACCAGGGAAACGACATGCACAGAGTAGGAAAGGTATTGCACACGCATCAAACTCAGATAAAATGGTCACATTTATGGGGGTACCCAAACTACCACACCTCTGGAGTTTGGCATCAGAAAGGACGGCTAAACTTCTATGTGCTAGCGTGAATCCATCCCTCATGGATATCAAGTGGATGAGTTTTTTGTTGTTTTAAAACATATCACCCAAGTGGACAGTAGGCACCATTGCAGGATATGGAGTCTGGTCAGGTAGAGCTATGCATTTGCCCGTGGACAGGTCTGAAATTGAATGAATGTGCCTGCCTTTCAGAACGCCTCAACAGGCTTTGAGTTTGTAGGTAAGGACTCTGTGTTCAGGGACCCCATACCTGACTGTCTATGGGTCGCAGAACTTCAGGAAGCTAAGACTTTGTAGGCAGGGCCAAGTGCTCAGCATATGCTCATGGTGGGATATGAGTGTCTCAACAGGCTTTGGAAATTCCAAGGATTGAGTTGGTAGTTAGGGCAAGAATGATTTGTCTGTTTCAAAGTGGTTCTAGTTAATTAACTTGCAGCCTTGTTCTATAATAAACTGTTCCTTGTTAAAGAAATCCTTCATCTGCATAATAAATGAATCAATTAAAACTGAGTCTCTGCCTCTCCATCAAGCAATATCAAAACTCACTTGAAACTTGGACATTTGTGGTGTATTTAGCCCATGATTTAAAGAAAGAAAACGCACATGTTAAGGAAAACTTTAGTAGAATTATTTCCTTTCAATTGATCACATGCACCATAAGAATGGACATGAGGATTTAACTGTCCACATGCTATAAAAACATTTCTTTTTTATGGGGCTGATCTTCAAACTGGCTTTAACTAGAACCCACTTTTCACGTGCAAAATTAAATTCTTGTGTTTTTTAGACATGATCTCAACTTTAATAAAAACATCATTTCTTTATTTCACATGTAAAGAACATTTGAACAAAATATCACAATAAATCAAAGTCAGAAAAATAATATTCTACGCATGATATAATGGGCACACTTAAGTTTTACTGTGTAAAAGTTTTTACCATTCTCAAGCAATATTTCCCATCTATATAATGAGGACTTCTACTAGAAATAGTAGAATCTTTCAAAACAATAAGTTTTAAAGATGCCCACTACATTGCAATATCGAGGGCATAATTAGAAGAAGACAAATTATTATATCCATTTATGTATTAAGAATATAATCAGGAGAAAATACAGGGTATATTCCTGCTGGAGAGTTTAACAACTCACCTGCAACACACAAACTAGCACATGAAAATGTTTCTGCCTCTTTCTAAAAGAATTATCCAGATTCTGGTCAAAACATAATAACTCCTACAGTACTAATGTGCTGTTTGAACTCTGAAGTTCTAAAGCATAAGTAGTTTGTTTATTAATATACTGGAAAAATAGAGTTGTGTGAGAAAGGCAAGAGTGGGTGGATATATCATACCCTTAGACTATTATTGTCACCTTGCCAAAAACAGAAAATTCTGCCAAAATCCGTGATTTAAGCTGTCAGAAACTGGTATTTACTTTTCCCCTTCTACTTGGATAGTGTTTTGTTTAAACTCAGAAAAAAATCTGAGATAGTCTTGAATCAGAACATACATTTGCCATGTTTTTTCACATTTGTTCTCTCCCAGCACATTCCATTTATTAAAAAACATGTCTGCAGAACCTTTCTATATAAAGAAGAATACCCCAGTGTCCCCAGTGTTTAGGAGGTTGATTTTTTGAACAGCTGGAATAAAGTCCCCATTTCCTTTGTTATAAAGGAACAGAAAAAGAAAGAAGTATGGACACAAATGTTAGAAAAATGCTGCTCTCAAGTTCACCTTACAGTATCTGGTAATGTAAAATTCACTACAATCAATGCCAAGGTGGAGCAAATGTGACATCATCCTTTTATACCCTATGGAAGCAGGACATCATTCCCTCAACCAGAAACTGGCTCCTCCTATGACCTCTAGTTGCATCCCGGAGAAAGCCCAGCCATGCACCTATCATCCTTCCCTGTGATGTGCTCAGTGGATAGCCAGCTGAACCCAGTTCTACAGCTGCTCCATCATTTCAAAGGGGAAATGGAGTCTCCAGATGCAAGACTGAACTGGAATAATGATCCCCAGAAAGCCAGAGAAGAGCGGTCAGCTAGTATTTTCCTTTAAAGAAAACAATGGCTTAGTATTCAAACACTTGGTGAAACACTGACAAGACCGGAGCATAAATAACAGCTGCCTTCAAGCAGTTTTCACTTATGAATATCAACCTGCCAGCAGTAGAGGTTGCGTATTTTCAGTAGTGATGGGAAAAGCCAGACTGAATGGGAAAAAATTAGAAGACTTAAAATTAGATCCAGTTGCAAAACTTTTCATCAACATTTTCCATGATTTTTCTTTTAAATTTTCATTGAAATTTTGAAATTTGAAGAATTTCAAAAATCTCTACTTAAAATAGTCATCCCTTCCCCAAGCAGAAGTCTGCATTAATTCAAATAAACTCAGAGTCCTAAGCCCAGCAGGATCAGACTCTCTCTTCATCACCCTCTTCATTAAGCACGCTTCTTAACTCTTAATTACAGTTTGCTTACCTTTCTATTACTAAAAATAACAATTTGTATTGTGGTTGCTCCTTCTACCCCCGTGTGCAAGGTGCTGTATAAACACAGAACTGCAGTGTACTTGCGTATAGTCACAGGTTGAACTATAATGTTGCAACATAATTGTCATTTTGGCTTTGTAATTGCTATATTATGCCTACCAGACTGCTACAATAGGGTTATTTTCAGACAGCTCTATGAGAGAAAGGCATACACTAGGTCTCTACACTTTACTGAGGTGTTTTGAGATAGTGCTGTCAAGGGTCTTCCTCTAGCAGGTACAGCATGCCAATATTTGAGCTGAGCTATCAAAACTGAAATATGATTTGTGCTTTTTTGTGTATCAAACTCCTACTCCTGAGGATTATTTACCATCTAAAAACAAAAATACTGCCATAAGGTGTGAATAAAATTACATCTCTTTTGTTTAAAAGGAAACGGCTTGACAGAGATATTTCTCCAACATTACAGTAATGGCATCAGCATGTATTAATATAACAAATTCCATCATGTGACTCCGGGAGGAGGGGCCCTAGGCACATGCCAATTGCCTTAGTCCAGCTCTGTCCAGAGGTGTATCTGAATCCCACTGAAAGTGAGCCAGCTCGAGGAGCTCACCAGAGGACATCTACACAATCTACTTTGATTGGCATCTCATTTTGATGTCTCAAGTGGGTGAAGCTTAGGAAACCGCTACTACCTTTTGTTTTCAATTCGAGCCCTGTGTAACTTACATCACCATATGCTCCGAATATGGCCTGAAGGAGAAGAGATACTATTTGCCTTTTTTATAATTCTACAGCCTGGTCTCTGTTAATGTGTAGCATTCTAACAAGTTTATGTGCTTCATTTCTGCCACTGAAATGGCAGGAATTTACAAATGTATCACAATTTTATATTTGTCTTTAGAAGTTGGTACTGAAGGGCCGCATAATTACAGGGACATTGAGGATCCTTGGAAAAAAGCCTTCTGTTGATGGCAATCACACCCTAGTACTGTACGTAATAACAGAAATGCAACAAACTAACACTAAAGTATTAGGTTGCTCTTAAATTATCAGTAATAAATTAATTTACTATACTGTACAACAGAGTTGGACCCAAAATGTGGCTGCTTTTTGCTTTGCCATCCAAACAATCCAGTCAATAGCAGTATTAATATTAGCTGTGAAAACATCCACTTACAAGATTTGTATCCATTGCTCACTCAGCTAAAAAAGCACTTGGCAAAAACAGTTACCATACATGTAGGTAGAAAATTCTTTTCTATACAAGACTGCTTATGTCAGACAATGCAGACTTCTTGGCAGCTTTGAGACTCCTTTTAATACAGCTCTTTCCACAACATATTGAGTCAAATTCTACCCTCAAACATGGATACACAATTCAATGGGAGTTCCATATCTGTGTCTGAGGACACAACATCTTATTCCTCTGGGGTGAAATTAACCACCCCCAATGGCACCCCATCCCCCCATGAAGAGGGTGCCAGCACAAAGCCCAGACACCACTGCCCCCACTGCAGCCTTCCAAGGTGGCCTGTGCAGAGCCAGTGTGAACAAGGTTTCCCCCGCGTTTGAAAGGTGTACAGGAACCACCGCATTGCTGCTCTACCTGTGATGCCCCGGGGTTGCATAGGCTTGTAATGTCCTAGCTTCACAGGGTGACCAGATGTCCCGATTTTATAGGGACAGTCCCGATTTTTGGGTCTTTTTCTTATATAGGCTCCTATTACCACCTACCCCCCTGGCCCGAGTTTTCACATTTGCTGTCTGGTCACCCTACAGCTTCACCACGGGTGAATTACCACTCCTATCTGTACATTAAAAGGAGAAAAGATCTGCCACACTGGCAAGTGTTTAAGGCTGCTGCAATGCTTGTTTAATCTAGCCCAACCTTCCCCCACCCTTCCACGTATAAAGAGCAGAAAAGGTATTTCCACTCTCAAGGACAAACAGCCAGAGGTAGCAGATCATAGAGGCTGCTTACTAGATACATGCTTTTAGCTATGCTTTAGACACCAGTTGTCATTAACATCTCAGCCTTGCCTTTATACTGGATATCTGTGTTCTCCGTGGGATGTGGCTTCTTGACAGCTGCTCTGCGATATACCACATGCGTCCTGCCTCCGTCTTCCTCCTGACTGCCCTTCTCCTGAGGCTCAATGAAGAACTCGTCCTTGTCTGTGCGAATCATGCCAGCCTAGGAATGACAGGACAGAGATGGAACATTTTAAGTTACTATGCATACAGCAGATATTGTGAGTAAACAGTTACAATATGCTTAAGCACACTTTAGCACTCTCCAGAGAGCAGTTAGAGTGCAGGGAGTAAACGAGATGAATTCTTTATTAGAGCAAAATGTAGCACTAATGCCTCAACTTGACAAGGAAGGACAAAGGTAAAACATCAGACCAAAGGGATTTCTACTAGAATCTAATTAGCAAGGGTTGGGACTAAAATATGTATGTGGAAATGGACTCTCAATTAGAAATCAACTACAAAGAAACAGGTAATATGACTATAGTGATTTGTCAGCCACAAATTGCTCCAGTGTTGTATGAATACCCATGCCTGCTAAATACAGGATCAATTCCGCATCATGAGCCGTCCCAGATGTACAATTCTGTGGTGCTTGATCAGACCTTTCTATTCAGAGACAAGATGGTGAAGTGCTAAGCCTGGTTAGCTGGCAAATAAGCTTTGTACATTTTTCTCCTGCATTAATGCATCATCTAAAGATGACACAAAGGACTGAACTGGCACAAACTCTCTTAGCCAGTTAGCAAAAAACAATTAAAATATACTTTTCTGTAATAAGTTTCTAAGGGATAAAAGCTTAAAAATCCAAACCAGGACAAATATACTGGTATGAAAAACTGAAAACCTTACTTGTCCATTGAAGCACAAAAGAAAAGCTTGACACAACCATCTCAGCATGTCCACTGCTAACAAGAGCAGTGTGAAAGTCATTAAGATAGTTTGTTTTTTACTACCATAGCGAACAAGCTATCTTTCCAACATTTTTATTTGAATGGAAAAATATCTAGCCTTTCACCGCAAATGTTTGTGTAATGTTATAGTACTGTTCTGTTGAGGAAGGTTAAGATAGTCGACAATTGGCTTTCATTGATTTTCCTGACAAGATGGGTACATATGTGTTTGCACATCTACATTTGAGAACTTCAACTAAAGAACTCTAGTTTTGTAAACAGAAAGCCTTGATTATGATGACATGAAACACAGCAAGAGAAATTCTTAATAGTACTGAATGTACTATCACCACCAAACGTAGCCTTCTGGAAGCTGGCTCCTTCACCTCTTAACTCCCTTTTCTTTATTCTGCTAATCAGTGACACTAGGGCAGGGATGGCCAACCTGAGCCTGAGAAGGAGCCAGAATTTACTAATGTACATTGCCAAAGAGCCACAGTAATACGTCAGCTGCCCCTCATTAGCTCCCCCACCCCACTCCCAGCGTCTCCCACCCACCAGCAGTCCCACCGATCAGCGCCTCCCCCTCTGTCCCTGCACCTCCCAATAAGCTGTTTCGTGGCATGCAGGAGTCTTGGGGTGGGGAGAAGAAAGGGGAGGAGCGAGGGCACTGCAGGCTGAGGGGAGGGGGCGGGAAGGGGTGGAGTGGGAGCAGGGCCTGTGGCTGAGCAGTGAGCACCCCCCGGCACGTTGGAAAGTTGGCGCCTGTAGCTCCAGCCCTGAAGTCGGGGCCTATACAAGGAGCCGCATATTAATTTCTGAAGAGCCGCATGTGGCTCTGGAGCCACAGGTTGGCCACCCCTGAACTAGAGAGTCAACCACCAGTAAGCACAGTACCCCCATCCGATCACCAGACTTACAGCATGTGCAAATTAGTGTGTCTGCACATTTATACCACACTCATTATCGAGGTATCTAAGCACCTTGGATTCCAAATTATTTGTAGGCCACAGCACTCCCAAGAGAACCAAAAAGGGACCCAATTTCTGGCCCCTTTGAAGTCAATGTCCAAACTACCGTTGTTGTCATTTGGACACTCTACCATACCCCAAATCAGGGGTCGGCAACCTTTCAGAAGTGGTGTGCCGAGTCTTCATTTATTCACTCTAATTTAAGGTTTCGCGTGCCAGTAAGACATTTTAATGTTTTTAGAAGGGCTCTTTCTATAAGTCTATAGCATATAACTAAACTATTGTTTTATGTAAAGTAAATAAGGTTTCAAAATGTTTAAGAAGTTTAATTTAAAATTAAATTAAAATGCAGAGCCCCCCTAGACCGGTGAGCAGGACCTGGGCAGTGTGAGTGCCACTGACAATCAGCTCGCGTGCCGCCTTCAGCACGCGTGCCATAGGTTGCCTATCCCTACCCCAAATGCTAAAATTTTAATACAGTGCAAGTGCACAGAAATACTTTTGCTACAAACAGTAAACTACTTTTGCTGCTGCTATAAATACAGCATGCTCTTGGATTCCCTTCTTGAAAAAATGTCAGGTTCATTTGTCATGTCTTAACTTACATTAGGCAAGACTTCCAGTCCTAGATTTGATTTATTTTTATATATATAGTGTCTATAAAAACAGATTAAAGGGAAAGGATTAAAGAAACAAAATTATATTCAAGCCGTTCAGGTTGCTACTCTGTTGCCTATACAGCGAGCAAACTGAATTTGAAATCCTGTCCTGGTTCTTTTTATCTAATTTAGATTCTACATCAGACACAAGGAAGGTGAAACCGGCTCAGCAGCCAAGCAAGCTCAGACAACCAGGAAAACAAACGCTAAACTGGGTAAAAAGCAATTGATCTTGTCCTTGTAAACCGGAGTGTGTACAAAGAAACTTGGGAATTGATGTTCTGTAGCTTTATATCTTTTTTTAAAAGTATACATATGCCAAGAGCTAAACTTTGCATGAAATATGCACAACTACAGATCAAGAAAGGAGCAAAAATTTGCATGCTCTGACAGAAGCACAGACTATGATGAGCATGTCATATTTAAACCCAGTGCAAAGATACACGTGGCTTAACTGCTACATGATATAGGTGTACAGTTGCCATTTACAATTAATATATAAGTGGGCAAATATAAAGAGTATGCATTCCTAAATGAATTAAGGTCACCAATAATAAAGCAATTAATGGTGGATCTTAATAATTCATGGAGGGTTTAATAGGCAAAGCCACCTCATGATGCTAGGAAAAATGCTGCTGTGGTACTGAAGTCAGCCTGATGAACTAAAGGTAACTTAAACTGGGGTTTAAGCTTTCAAATCAAATGAATAAGAATGAGAAAATTCTTGCAATCAGTAATCAAACAGCTCTTCCAAAAACACAGATCTGAAAAACAAACTTGGGGGGAGGGATAGCTCAGTGGTTTGAGCATTGACCTGCTAAACCCAGGGTTGTGAGTTCAATCCTTGAGGGGGCCACTGGGGGATCTGGGGCAAAATCAGTACTTGGTCCTGCTAGTAAAGGCAGGGGGCTGGACTCTATGACCTTTCAAGGTCCCTTCCAGTTCTAGGAGATGGGATATCTCCATTAATTATTATTATTATTAAACTTGCTCCCAGGGTGTTGCTGCTCTTTGAAAAAGAAAAAGGAATTTGTTCAGGTTAAACGAAGCACCACAGCTGGTTGAGAAAATGAAGACACTACCCTGAGCAGGCTAAACACAAGACCAGACAACAAAAAAAGATACCCTAGCATGCTGGGAAGTTTCAGGGAATCCTGAATAAACTGGCTGTGAGACTACACTATAAGGTGCTGTGGAACAGGAAGGTCCTCTACAGAGATGTCTTTTCTTCTAGGACAAATCACCAAGGTTTAGATCCCACTCAAGATCAGGGGGGTTAAGCTAGGCTTTGCAGTTCAGGTTTGAGATTGAGTCTAGAGATGAACAAAAAATGGATCCATCCCTCAGAAAGGTTCAACTAAAAATTTGTTTTTGTCTAAATTTGCAGTGGAAAATTTCAATTTTAGGGCAGAAATCTGATAAATATTTCAGTTTGGAAAAGCTGCCATAGTGCCTTATGCTCCCATTCTCCATTGTAGGCACCCTGGTCAGACTACATTTTACCTGATGCATCTTGGTCTCCCCTCTTGGAGAGGGAAGCAGTGCATGATGGAAGTCCTGCCTATGGAAGAGACTGGAGAAATGAGGCACCATTTCCAAACTAAAATATTTTGGGGTTTGGGCCTTCTGTTTGTCAAAAAGAAAATGAAAATTTTTCCATGGAAAGCATTCACACATTCAAAATGTGCCTTCATTTGTATACCGGTTTACCAAAATTGTGAGTACAATTATCTTAACTGCGTGTACAGGGCCAGATTCACCAGTACGCTGCAGCTGCTTCTGTCCAGAGATGTAAACTCAGGTTAGTGGTCTCCGGGGTTTGCATTGCTCTGGTGAGCTAAGCCAGGTATATGGCTGCTTTGCATTGCTGGACATCATAGTATATCAGTGAATGTGTGCAACAAATGTGTTTGTACCTATCTATCTGTGTGTGTGTAACTGCAGTAAACTGCACACACAGATATGGTAAAGTACAGCAAATGTGCTGCCACTCACAGGGAAATAATCAACATGAATAGTAGCTATTATTTTTATTTATTTATATACTAGATACTTTCCAAACAGAAAAGAAGCCATAATCCAAATCCTGAGGAGTTCACAATCTAAGTGATAATGAAGGTCATATGTAGAATTGAGCCCAATACTGGACCCAAACCTATTCTGGGGAAGTTCCACACTTTACAATCCATGCCTCTCTATGTAACAAGCTGAACTGAAATGTCAAATCTGCAGTCTCCACACTCCAAACACGGGGAAAGTATGGAATCAGATCCTGTTCCAGATCCGAGCTTTACCACTCAGGCTATCACATGCAGACCTCTGAGGAAAGATGCTAACACAGGCCTAGAAGAAAGGTGTGGTTTAAGTGTCTAGAGCAGAGGACTGGGTATCAGGAAGTTCTAAGGACTCCTGCCTGCCTGGTACCTCTGAGTGAGTCATTTAACCTCTGTACCTCATTTGCCCATCTGTAAAATAGGGATAATACTTACCTATCTCATAGGGGAGTTATGAGGGCTGATTAGATGTTTGTCAAATGCGTTGATATGAAAAGCTCACCGTAATTGCTAAGTATTTTTATTATTGTTTCTACCCAGGAAATCAGAAAAAAATAGTTCTTGCTATAGTACATCTGTGGATACA